TGGGAATGAAGTTCTTTTGAACACAGACTTCTTTGTTATGTTTTTCAAGAGTAAAGCACCATTTAAGAAATAGTCTGGCTTATGATATGAAGGTGGGATAAACAGCAGACTATATATTAGAAACAAAAAATACTACACATGAGGACCACTTCAGTTATCCCACAAAATTTGCCACAAGTCATTTAGTATTAAGATGAATGAAAGACCCTTAACTGTGTTACCTATTAAGTAACATACTAGGGGCGCCTGGGTGGCTCAGTCAGCTAAGCATCTGACTCTTGATTTCAGCTCAGGTCATAATCCCAGGGTCGTGGGATCGAATCCCGGGTCTGACAGTGCAGACCCTGCTTGGGATTCTCTCTCTCCCTCTTTCTGCCCCTCCCCCTGCTCACATACTTTCTCTCTCAAAATAAATAAATAAACATTAAAAAAATAACATACTCCCTTGGTTGAAATATGGTTTTGAATTTCCACTTTAACTGCAAAGTACAACTTAAAATTCTTAAAAGTTTTATATGGTGACATATACACCTCTGTCAATTATATTAATTATACTACACCCAGCAATTTCATTTTATGTGGTTGCAGGTTCCAAGAACAATGAAAAAAGCACAGACAGTTCTGGGTTGTTTGGTTTGTTGTTGTTTTAGAGAGAGAGAGAGCAAGAGCGATCAGGGGAGAGGGGCAGAGGGAGAGAGAGAATCTCAAGCGGGCTCCACACTGCAGGACATGGGGCTCAATCTCACAATCCTGCGATCATGACTTAAGCTGAAATCAAGAGTTGGCCGCTCAACCGACTGAGCCACTCAGGTGCCCCAACAGAGAGTTTTGAGCAGTTTGTTTTCCTTTTTTGAACACACAAAATGAGAATTTGGAAGAAAACATAAGGGAAATGCTTTGTAACACCAGATTTGTCGATGATGTCTCGGATACGACACCAAAAGGCAGGGAAAAAAGCAAAAACAGATAAAGTGGACTACATCAAACATCTGACTAGGATTAACATCCAGCATATATAAAGAACTCCTCAACAACAAAAACCCAAAGAACTTGATTAAAAAATGGGCAAAGGACTGGAATAGACATTTCTTCAAAGAAAATATACAAATGGCCAACAAGCTTGTAAAGAGGTGCTCAGCACCACTGAATCATCAAGGAAATGCAAATGAAAACCACAGTATCACTTCACACCTGTCAGGATGGCTGCTATAAAAACAAACAAACAGAAAAACAGAAAAAACAAGGGTTGGCAGGGACGTGAAGAAACCAGAACCCTTGTGCCCTACCGCCGGAAACATTAAATGGTGCAGCCTCTATGGAAAATAGTAGAGTGGTTCCTCAAAAAAAATTAAAAATAGAATTACCACATGATCCAGCAATTCCACTTTTGGGTACATACCCCAAAGAACTAAAAGCAGTTGTCTCAAAGAGATAGTTTTACACTCATGTTCATTGCCACGCTGTTCACAAAAACAAAAGGGTAAAGGCAACCCAAGTGCCCATCAGAGATGACTAGGTAAAATGTGGTTTGTATATGCCATGGAATATTATTCAGCCTTAGAAAAGAAGGAGGGGCGCAATCCGTTAAGCGTCTGACTTCAGCTCAGGTCATGATCTCGCCGTTCGTGGGTTGGAGCCCTGCAACAGGCTCTGTGATGACACAGAGCCTGGAACGTGCTTTGGATTCTGTCTCCCTCGCTCTCTGTCCCTCCCCCGCTCGCACTTTGTCTCTCTCAAAAATAAATAAAAATTAAGAGAAAAAAAAAGGGGGGAATTGACATAGGTAACACAACAGATGCACCTTCAGGACGTGATGCTAAATGAAATAAGCCGGTCACAAAAATACAAATACGTACGGCATGAGTCCACTTACACGAAGCACCTAGAGTGGTCAGACTCCTAAACACACAAAGTAGAGTGGTGGCTGCCAGGGGCTGCAGGGTGGAAGAACGGGGAGCTGTGATCCAAGGGGCACAGAGTTTCAGTTGTGCAAGATGAACAGGTTCCAGAGGTAGGTTTGCTCAACAGCATGACTGCACTAAACAATACTAAACTGTACGCTTAAAAACGTTTAAGACGGCAAATTCTACATTATGTGTAGTTTACCACAATTAAAAATAAATTTAAAAATGTTTTAAGTAACAACTTTAGAATAACCTAACACTAGGGTCTTCCCAATATAAAAGCTGTCTATAAGAAATGCAGCATTTCATAAGGAAACAGATAAATTGTTACAATTCCATGGCTGAAAACGCTAAATACTGTTGCTTGCAGAAATGGAAAAATACTAGGGCGCCTGGGTGGCTCAGTCGGTTAAGTGTCCGTATTCGGACATGTCGTATTCAGGTCATGATCTCGTGGTTCCTGAGTTTGAGCCCTGCGTCGGGCTCTGTGCTGACAGCTCGGAGCCTGGAGCCTGCTTTGGATGCTGTGTCTCCCTCTCCCCTCCTTCTCCCCTCCCCTGCTCACACTCTGTCTCTGTCTCTCTCTCTCTGTCTCTCTCTCTCCAAAATAAAAAAACATTAAAAATTAAAGAAAAAAAGAAAAGGAAAGAAATGGAAAAACACCTGAGCACTTGAATAAAGAAAAGGCAGAAGTATAAGGAGGAAAGGCCTGCCCTGTGCAAGTTGAATTAACCATTATAAAACCTAGTGGGAAGAAGAGAAAAGGAAAAATAAAGATTCTTCGGCAACTGAGCAGTGTCTCACAATCTCAATCCTATAACCAGAAAGTGATTCAAATGGACAAACCCAAGACAAAATGCTCCAAAGGCTGGATTATAAACCAACTCGCTACACCGAAAAGCCCCAGACTTGTCTACCACCAGCCTGACTACCTCGCTGGCCCATGGACCCATTAGACGCCACAGTATTGGGGAGAACACCTGCTTTCCCAGGGTCTCGGGGAGCCTCTCCAAGCCCTCAAGTGGAAGCCCCAGGCTGTAGAATGGGCACCAGCGCTACCTTTAAATTTTTTTTTTTTTTTCAACGTTTATTTATTTTTGGGACAGAGAGAGACAGAGCATGAACGGGGGAGGGGCAGAGAGAGAGGGAGACACAGAATCGGAAACAGGCTCCAGGCTCTGAGCCATCAGCCCAGAGCCTGACGCGGGGCTCGAACTCACGGACCGCGAGATCGTGACCTGGCTGAAGTCGGACGCTTAACCGACTGCGCCACCCAGGCGCCCCGCTACCTTTAAAACACAAGCTGAGAATCACTAGCCTACGTGGACTGCTTGCTTCCCAGGTGCTAGCACCATACAAGATGCTGTGCAAAGAGCAATCTTACCTAATCGTCACGGCAGCCACACAGTCAGCAACGACCCCATTTTCTGTAAGAGGAAACTGAGGAACAGAGGAGCTGAGTGCTACCTCCAAGGTCACACAGCAGGTACAAAGTACAGCTGAGATATGAACCTGAGGCCAGACTCCAGTTCCCTCAGTCCCCATCTATCAGAGCTAGACAGCAAAATGCTGGGGGCTGGAGTTTGAACCCACTTCTCCCATGAACCTGCTATACGACATTACGACAGGTTACCTGCAGGGTCTCGGTTTGTTCAACTTTGAAAGAACAACCTTGGGGCGCCTGGGTGGTTCAGTCGGTTAAGCGGCCGACTTCAGCTCCGGTCATGATCTCAGGGTCCGTGAGTTTGAGCCCCATGTCGGGTTCTGTGCTGACAGCTCAGAGCCTGGAGCCTGCTTCACATTCTGTGTCTCCCTGTCTCTCTCTCTCTGCCCCTCCCAGACTCACAATCTTGTCTCTGTCTGTCTCTCTCTCTCTCTCTCAAAAACAAATGAACACACACAAAAAATTAACAAGTGTTATGCCATATCTATAAGCAAACTCTGCAGTGCCTTATCAGGAGCCCCAAAGAGATTATCACAGGTCTTTAGTAGTAAAGGTATTAGGAACCATGCCTGCAGCACCAAACTACAAACACATAATAGCATAACATATAAGATGTTCTCCAGATGAATATGTTTAAGCCCACCTTTTCCTTGAAAAAGGAAACAAATTCCATGTAATAACTATACGCAATATCAACCCAAATTTATACATTATACTGGCTATAGTCACATTGGTGTGAATTTCCAGCAGGTTATCACACATATTTTTTTCACTCCTCTGAGCTAAATGAAATAGTATAAGGAAACAATATAAGTATTATTATAAGTCCATCCATAAAATTGGTACGTTCATTAGTTTCTGTTATACTTAAACCTATTTCCTATGCATAGTCTTGAAAAGAAATTTGTTTTAAAAAGCCCACCCCATATATTACTTTATTCTCCTTAAAATACAAACTTTAACAAAACTTAGCTTCTTAACAGTTTTTAAGGAAGTGACTTTCCTCCTTTTTATTTTATGAACTAAACTCTAATTTTGGTGATTGATAAATTACACCAGTGAGCATGCCATACTTGTTAAAAGAATGAAGAAAAAAATAAGTATGGTAGAACCTACAGCGATTGTTTTAAAATTCAGATTTTTAAAGAGGCCAAGATTAGTTTTGTAGAACTTTGTATCAAATTTCCCACTGCCAAGGCACTTTGGGTTAAAGTACTATTCAAGATCAGGAGAAAGTGTTTTGTTCCTTCTCCTGCTTATTTAAGCCGATCCATTTAATATTTCTGAAGACTGGGGGGCGCCTGGGTGGCTCAGTCAGTTAAGCGTCTGACTTTGGCTCAGGTCATAATCTCACAGTCTGTGAGTTCAAGCCCTGCATCGGGCTCTGTGCTGACAGCTCAGAGTCTGGAGCCTGCTTGGGATTCTGTGTCTCCCTCTCTCTGCCCCTCCCCACTCACGCTCTCTCTCTCTCTCTCTCTCTCAAAAATCAATAAGCCTTAATTTTTTTTAATATATTTCTGAAGACAACTGGCATGTTGTTCCCCAAGGTTCAATCACGTACTGCCCTTCGCACCCCAGTCCCCACGAGGCAAAACAAGCACGGGATCATGTGGCGACACGAAATCCTCAGGCTCCTGAACCACCCACCTTACCTCAGACTCATCTGTAGATTCTTCGAGAGACTCAGTTTCCTGCAAAGCACAGAGGGGGAGAACGGTCAGAAGAGGTGACAAAAGAATAAAATATAACATATTTTTGAGAGAAAAGGGTCACCACATCCCCGCCACCAACACCCACCTGCCCTGCTGGGAGGTAATTTGCAACCACAGTTGAAAGGACTCCACATGGTGTGACCCTCCTAGGCCTCCCTCCACTTCCCATGCGTGGCAGGACTGAGACGGTCACTCTGGGGCCACTCAGACCCACTGCTCCTGCTGACCTCCCTCGGGTGGTCAGCAGGCTGACGAATGACCGCGGGAACTGTCATGGGAAGACACAGAAGGCTCTTTCCTTCGCTAAAAATGGAAACGGGTCCAGCAAAGCAGCCTTACTGATCACGGAAGGGAAGAGGAAGCTGCCGTCTCAAATTATCCGTGAGCCAATTTTTATACTGAAAAGCCCTTGTGCTATTAATTACTATGCTATTAATCTGGTTGAGTCAAAATGATGGTCTTGCTTAAACAGCTTTTTACAAAAGAATTCCCCTAGAGTGGTACCTATCAGCCGTTGTGCAAACAAGCTGTATAATTTACATCCACTCTTAAAACCATTAGCCAGAAGACGAATTCTGCCATTTAACACAGTTTCCCTCTTGCTAGAGCATGAATCTTGCTGTTCTGGAGAAAACAAAGCAAAAAGGGAAAAATTGACTCGATCCTGCTAATCTCTCACCTGTCCACTGAAAGAGAGAATCTGCTGATGCCACGCATCCTCAAAGAGGTCAGCAAAATGAAGATTTACTTAACGTACTTATAGATATCAATAGCAATAAAAGGTTACAACTAATATGCTGACACTGAATGTAAGCATTTTGCAACAATCCATGAGCTATACAAGAATGAAAAAAATGGGGCAAGGACATCTTGGAAAGTACTAATATTTTTCAAGAAAAAAAATAAACATTTTAACAAAAGTTAGATGCTTCTATTACTCAGTTCTGGTTGCGAAGCAGGCTAAACACAAATCTGGTGTTTGCACACATTTTAATTTCATTCATAGGAAATTCCTAAGAACCTTGCAGGTGACAGGCTGCCTCTGCAACAGCCTTGTGGACGATACGGTACTTGCTCTGAGAGGCCATCTGTGAAACGGGGACGAATGTGACTTGTGATTAAGAATTTTATTGTAGTTGTGCCATTAACCACGATGAACATGAGAATCTCCTCCACACCCCGACGCGGTAAGGTTCTTCTAAGTACTAGAAAATGCTTATTAATTTGGAGCTACAATCTCGCCATAGGAACTTTTTGTTCTTGGCACCAATAAGACACATAAAAAAATCCAATTCTTCTACTACTTGACAGTTCTCCAGAGAGTTAATGACACGTATCATGCCTGCCCTTCTAAATTGTTTTTCCTCTGTGCTAACCATCCCCAGATCCTGGTTCTCATCCACTTACCACCGTGATCCTTCTCTTCTGGACACACTCCATTTATTATTAAGAGTCACTATTCTGACATCTTTACTGAACATCTATTATATATATCCCACAATGCTAAATGCTTTGTACCCAGCATCTTAGAATTTCCTAATGACCCCTGAGGTAAGAACACTGAGGCTTAGAGGCTGAACTTAACGACTTCTGACACCCTTTCTGCCCCTGACTGTCCCTGAATAGTAAGTTACTAACATTCGAGAAACAAGGCTTTGACGACCATGCCAATGACCTGCCCCTAGATTTCTATCCCCAGCTCAAGAACTTTAAAGGAAAAATGGATTACTCTTTTCAGAAAAGTGCCATTAAACCTAAGGAAGGTTTTTTGTTTTTTGTTTTTTGTTTTGAGATACATTCATATAGACACGGTAAAAGGACAAATGTTTCATTTACGTTCTTCGTTAAAACCAAAGCGTAAGTCTCCACCCACCAATTTCAACCAAAAGCTCAAAATCAAATTATATTCTTTTCTTTTAAAAAAATTTTTTTTTTATTTTTAAATTTTTTTTTTCAACGTTTATTTAT